TGCAATACAATGGACAGAATTTGAAATCTGAGACTTTGTTTCATATTAAAAGTATCAAAGCACAATGCTTATTGTGATATATTGGATGGGAGGTGCCCTTCAATGTTGCGTCCATTAACTGAAAACAGGCTAGAATAATCGATTCTTGGGATTTAAGAATTGATATCGTTCCGTAAAAATGAGAATCGATTAAAATCGAGATATCGATATTTTTTACCCAGCCCTATTGTTTTCACTAGCAAAGAAAAATATATAATATAACTGGCTAGATTTAGTCTGAAACAAGTTATTAAGATGAATAATTTCCTATTTATTGAACCATTGTGGAAAAGTGCTATCATCATTGCAATCTAGATGTTCTGAATGTCAGTATGGCTGCAGTTACCTGTGGCACTCGGCCTGCAGCAATACTGGGGTTCTTTAAGTACAAACCAGTTTCTACTCATAACCCGACTACAGTATAAAGACCAAACCACATCTGAAACCATACAGATCCAAAAACCATCAACCATACAGTTTCACAAAGGGCTTATGGCAAGATCTGACGTGCCACACACACAGTTCCCGTGTCTCTGATTATTATAGGCTGTTAATCACCCAGACAGGATTACTTCATTTTTTGGCAGAATCCACCTGAATCCACACTGACAGTCCTGCCAGTGATGTCATTCAATATCTGATTTATTTGCCACTATCAGTCTGATTATGTAGCCTGCTTTTCTTTTTCCTTCATGTCTGGAAACACCATCTTCCAAGAGTTTTGGGAGTGAAAACAGATTTTCAGTCATGGTGAGCGTATTGTCAAACGCAGACTGACAAAATGTTTCTCAGACCCATTACTGAATTAAATGGAAACAATAAAGTGTGTGAGAGAGAGAAAGGGAAAAGAAAACAAGAGCCTGGCTTACATTCAGCATGTATCACCTCCCCTGACAATGTGTTGACTAAACTTCCACAGCCTGGTGCCCTGAGGCTGAAAGGATTTGGAGGGCATGATGGATTGGGAAATGTTTTTCGTCATTGTTGCCTGCCCTAATTTACCACAGCCAAGTCTTGCAGAGCACCGGCTGAGCTAGATGGGTCAGTCTCAAATCGGTCACATGGAAGTTGACCTCCGACCTGAGTTTCCCTTTCCAGCTCTTAACCTTAATTATTAAAGTGAAACTGCTCAGTAAATGTCAATTGTCTGATATATGATCGCCAGACAAGGTGTTGTTTTTACTGGTGGAAGGCTAAAAGTGATTGCTCACCCAAAAATAAAAATTCTGTCATTATTTACTCACCTTCATGTCAGTCGAAACCTGTATGACTTTAATTCTTTTGCAGAACACACAAAAATATATTTTTAAGAATGTTTCATATAATTTCTGTTCCAGTTTTGAGACATTTCTGTATTTTTTTTTATTATTTGTTATGTTCCACAGAAGAAAGAAATGCTTACAGGTTTGAAACAACATGAAGGTGAGTAAATGATGACAGATCTTTTTTTTTTTTTTTTGGTGAACTATCCCCTTAAGCCAACAGTGACAAAGCAACTGCAAGTCATTCATTCAATACAAGACGACCCAGATAGCACACGTACGTCTGCAAGATGTCTGTTAAAGATTGCTTCATCTGGAAAGCATCTGCTGTGTACAAACATCTGATAGACGTCTTTAAGATGTCAGCTTTACATACACTCTAAATCATAAACATCTTACAGACATCTTCTAAACGTCTATTTGACATCTGATAGGAAACGTCCTATAGACGTACTGCAGATGAGCAAACACTCTAAAAAATACGTCTTGCAGATGTCAAATAGTCGTCTCCGTGATGTACGCTTTCAACGTGGTTGAAAAACACCTATAGTTTATGGTGCCAGATGCAATTGTAAAAACACTTAACATCCATTTTAATGTGTTCAATTTTTCCGACTAAAATGTTAAAAGTTCCTGCTGTACCACCTTGAAATGGTACTTACTTGCGCTTATTCGGATTGTTCAAACCGACTTAAAACTAAAAGATTACGTTCTCTCGCGCGAACTCATTCGGGAGTGGTGACTTTCCACGTATTCCCAACTTCTGAGCCTGCTCGCCTGAAGTTATGGTTGATTGCTCTTCGGCTGGATATCAACACACCCATTAACGTAAACTTAACGCCAGAGCGCGTATACACCTCACGCACCGGATGCCGTGCACGCGCCCAAAGACAGTTGGACATAGTGGTGTATTAGAGGTAAAAAATGATATAAATACTGTTCGGTTTCTGACACAAACCGATCGTTTCGTGTCTTAGGACATCAATGTGTCGTCACGAGCCGCAGGGTTTAATTTGGATTTGTCTGTGCATGTTTTTTTTACTCTCATAGATTTTGTTACCATTGCCATGCATTATACGACTGATAGACTGCAACGGTTAAAGTTAAAAATCATCATATGTGTTCTACTGAAGAAACAAAGTCACCTACATCTTGGATGCCCTGGGGGTAAGCAGATAAACATAACATTTTCATTTTTGGATGAACTATCCCTTTAACTTACTCTTTTCTGATCCTCTGTATGACAGAACAAATTGTTGTTCTTAATTGAAACCATTTAAATGTTCCCTTTTGTTCTCGTTTTCAGGAAAGCGAGTCCTTGTTTTGTGTTTGTTTACATGGAAGCAAATCCTGCTCTTTGAGGTCTAAATGATGGATGTTGTTATTTGCTCCTCTTTCATTTTGTATCTGCATTGAAGGGCAGCTGTGAGGTCAGAGTCAGATGATGTCATCTTAACAACAAATTTAAAGAGCAAAGGAGAGTTATTAACTCAGGCATGTTAGTATCTTCCTGCTGTCAGTGTGTGGTCACATCACTGCAAACCTCACAAACGTTTCCCAGTGTTCCCTGAACGGCTGACGACATTTCAAAGCGCTGATCTAAGCTGTGGAAAGTGCTGCATTATGAATCATGAGATCTGAAATATCTGTAATTGTGTCATTTAATGGAAGAGCTCTAAAAATGATTTATTTCTTAGCACACTACAAAAAGAGAGAATCGATTCATAAGTGACTGCATCCAATTCAGATAAATTAACTTTCCTGTTAAAAATCTACAAAAAGTTAATGTATTTACATTATGGGGAGAGTGGGGTAAGATGTGCCATCTCTTTATTCAGATCTAAAAATGTGTTTCATACATGTTGATGAACTGATAAAATTTAAATTATTACAATTTTTAAACATTAGCCATAAACTACATTTCCCAAAATTTTGATCATAAGCTTTGCCTCCAAATGCAGTAAATTATACTTACAAATAGTATTTTTATTGCAAATACAATTGCAAAACGTTTCACTACATGTAAATATTTTGAATATTATCATTTTTTTCTAGTAGCTAATGTATGAACAATTGCATAATACGCACCAAAAAGACTGGAATTTGATTAAGTATTAGTAAATTGTTGCTATTTTTTTCTGATATATGTTTTATATTTTTTATTTGAAATGTATATTTTATTCCAGGAATAGACACTTTCTTCTCATTTCAGTTAATCGACATCCTGATATATATACAGTACTAACCCTAATTTTACCTTGTTTCTCATTGCCTATAGAGAATATCTTCAGTGGCACATCTTACCCCAACCCCCCTATATACTTCTCTAAAGACTCTTGTAATGCTTAACTAAACATAACACAGTGCACTCGGTGTTTATTCTACTCTGCTCCCTAAAACCTTCGGAAAAGCACACTGCCACAGGGATGGTAGTTTATTCCCCCTTTCAGTCAAACGGCTAAACCCCCTGCATTCCAGCAGCTCTTATCAGAGTATCGTAAATAGAAGAGCAGCTCGCGTAAAGTCCATGGATCAGGGGGTCATAGCCTAGACCACAATGAGAAAGAGCAAGTTAAAAACAATGGTGTGAAATTTTTACATCGCAAAATCAAAACGACAAAACTAAAACTGCACTGCCAATTCTACGCTGGACAACAAAAAATTTTCACAATTGTGAGAAATAAAAATGCAATTGTGAGATATAAACTTCTGATTTATATTCTGAGCAATTCTGATTTTATAGTTTATATCTCACAACTTTTCTTTTCAGAATTGTGAGATGTAAACTCTGAAAATTGTCAAAAATTGTCGTCTTTCAATTCAGATTTTTTTCTCAGAATTCCGAGTTTACATTTCACAATTCAGTTTGTTTGTTTTGTTTTTTGTTTGTTTGTTTGTTTCGATGTTGTTGTTTCCACCACGGAATAAAGGTAATAGCTAATTTTTATCTCACAATTCAATTTTTTCTCGCAATTGCAAATTTAGTTCTCACAAATCTGAAGAATTGCGATTATGAGATATAAACTCGCAATTATGATTTTACAGTTTGAATTTTTTTCTGATTTTTATAGTTATAAATATCTCAATTTAGCATTTCACAATTTTGACTTTTTTCTCTGTGTTATTTATGTCTTTATATCTTATAGATTATAGCATGCAATTCTGACTTTCTGAAATGTAAACTAAGAACTGCAAGGTAAAAAAGTGTAAATTGTAACCTAAAAAGTTTTTTTTTTTTTCATTTATTTTATTTTTAATTTTATTTTACTTTTTTTTTATCCTGTATTGGAAACAAGCTTCCTTAAGCAATTCAATTTCACAAATAATTACACAGAAACTGCTTGTAGTACATCAAATACTCACTGAAATTTTGAATTAGAAAGACTGATATAGTATTGTCTTGTAAAATGTGCTCCAATAATTTTCGTTTTATTTACAACTTTATAAAAAAAATGTACAGTGTAAAATGGTTGGTAGAATGATTTTCATCTGATTTTGCGGTAAGTGTCAGATTGACATACTGTGTGTACTATACAATATATATAAGCACTGTAATGGTTTTCAAAATACTGTGACAAGTGTATACAAAATATTGTACACACAGCTTTGTAATTGACGTATCCGGTATGTGTCTCAGCAAACCACACAACGGTTCTGATGAATGAAGGCTGTTAATAGAGAAAGCAGCTTGCTGAGTGTGAGAAAAGGCTGTTTTTGGCAACTCTGAAAAGCCTTGGGGAAATAAATCCTGTCTGCCATTAATGCAACCTGTTTGTGTTTGACAAAGCACACCTGATCCAGCTCAAATCCTGTCTGTACAGAAATAAATATTGCATACACATCCCCAGAGGTTACGTTGTTTGTTTAGTCTTTTGCCATATGCTTGGTTGTTCGTATGCCGGATTATACTATTTAAAATGAAATCCCTGTCATCATTTACTCACTAAACCACTCCTTTAGTGTTCCACGGGAGAAAGACAGTCACAGGTGTTTCGAAAGACATGAAGGATAAACAAATGACTGTAGTTTAATTTTTAGTTGAACTAAGCTGTTGAATTTTGTTGAATTCTGAACTGACACGTTGGTGTTTGTGGAAAAATACAGTCGGGTCGTTTTCAGTATTTGAATTAATACATAGTTAAATAGCAGCTTCATTGTTTTCAGTAAACAAACCTACAGTTTTCAACCTAAATTGTAGTTAGTTTGCAGCACCTTCACAGAGAAGCGCTCATATTACAGTGTCACAATGAATGTCAACAGGTCACATGTTTAATTAGGGGGCCTGAGGGTGCTCTCAACCCTCCCTTCCTCCCTTCTCCTGTCCCGTCATCCATCCACAAGCCCACAGCACCTCTGGAAGAAACAATAAACTCTCTATGAGTTAATTACTGTGTATATATATATCTTAAATTGATCTTCTTTAGGTCGTTTTGCCAGGTATTTGTTAAACAGTCACAACAACCACAATGTTGGCATTTTCAAGTTATCTTGTTAAAAAATGTCTATCAAGAATGTAAACGTTAACATGCGTGTGAACAGGTACACTGCAAAAATATTTTTGAAATGAAGATTATTGAAGTATGTTTTTCAAGAAAATACTATTTCAGTCTTTCTGCTTCAAAATTCGCACTATTCAGATTTTATAGCTATTATTCCATTTTTTTGTGTTTTTGTTAGTTTTTTCAGATTTTTCTAGTTTATATCTTGAGTTAACATTTTACACAACATTCAACACAAAAGTCAACATTTTGACTTTTTCCTCAGCATTTTGAGTTTTTTTTATATATCTCTCAATTCTGACTTTTTCCCCAGAATTGCAAGAAAAAAAGTCTGAATTGTGAGATAAAAAAAATACTTTTTTTATTTTTTATCCTGTGGCAGAAGCATGCTTCCATATTCAATGTGTTACTTGCCATTTCTTTGTAATTTAATATAAAGTTTACCAGCCATTTTTTTCCAGGGTAGTTTTAGAAAAATAGAAATGTAACCGTTTTAAGAGCTTATGAGAGACATTTGTGAATTGAGGGAATATTCATACCGTTTCATTCATATATTCATATTATTGGTTCACAAAACTATATTAAACTAAACGTGATTTAAAAAAGTATGATCTTATATTAATTAAGAGACATTTGTGAACTGAGGGAATATTCATTCTTTTAAAAATTTGTTGTGCAACAAATCCATATCAGACTATAAAAGACAAAAATGTGATTTAAAAAGGATTCTTATTATAATTATTACAATTTTTGATTAAAAAAATTATTAAAAACAATAAAAATTTAGAAAAATATTATAAAAAAATAAAATAAATGATTACCAGTTAAAGGACCTAAGATAAAGTTTCCGTCATGTACATATATGTAAAATATAACCTAAACTCTTAATGTTATATGTTATCTACACCAATACAGACATATTCATTACCCAAATGCAAAAAAAATAAAAATATCTGTCTTCCCATAACAAAGGATGCCAGGTTCTTAAATAACACACAACATGGCATTGAAATATAAGCTGTAACATCAGTGCATTATATATTAACATGAATCCCCTTCATTTCAAACAAGAAAAACCCATGTTGTATCATTAGCCATAAAACTGACATTAGCAATTGCAAAAGAACAAAGAAAACAAAACATATGCCCATCATCACACCTGAGATCCCATCTGTAAGCCGTAAATGATTTGATGCAAAAGTTTGGCACACAAAGTCCTCACCTCAGGAGGTTCTGCAAGCCTTGCTTACTGGAGCTTCGTCTCACGATTGCACTTGACATTGTTCTTTCTTCTCCGAGCTTGGAATTCTTGGAAGTTTTGTATTCCGTGGAATCTGATTCACAAAGACTCCCTCACAGACGCTGACGCTCTTTCCTTGGACGCTCAGCTTTTGAGGAGAGATCCACGCGGCACCCGATCTGGTTTCAGAGACTGGCTTTAGTCACACTCTGTCCCCTCCTCCTCTCCTCCCTCTGTTTTTCCCCCTCGCTTTCCTGCATGTTGTTCTCATTGAGAGAGCTCAGACCATAACCTAACATCTTTTCCCCCTCCTTTTCCCTCTTTTCCAGGGTCATGTGGCTGTCCCAGGGGAAAATGTAAGTTGATACCCCCCACCCCATGCTATGAATCCATCCCAAACCCAGAACTCAGCCTTTCTTTGACTGTGTTTACATTGGTAACAAAGCTCTCAGACATGCTTACAAACAAACTTCAGCAAGCATTTTGATACTTTCTATTGTTTGTCCCTTATATACCTACAGTATTAATTATTCTTGATGATGACAATTACACTGTATTTTTAGGTCAGCGAGATTTTTTATTTTTTTTTTTAGAAAGAAATTAATATGTTTATTCAGCGTGGATGCATTAAATGTATCAAAATTGACAGTAAGACTTTTGTAATGTTACAAATAAATTATATTTCAAATGAATGCTGTTCTTTAGAACTTTGTTTTCATCAAATCTGATGAAAAAATGATCATGGTTTCCATAAAAATATTAAGTGGTTTGTTTTCAGCATTGATAATAATCAAAAATGTTTCTTGAGCAGCAAATCAGCGTATTAGAGTGATTTCTGAAGGATCATGTGACACTGAAGACTGGAGTAAGGATGCTGAAAATGCAGCTTTGATCACAGGAATAAATGACATTTTTAAATATATTCAAATAGAAAATAGCTATTTTAAATATTAATAATATTTCTGTTTTTATTATATTTTGATCAAATAAATGCAGCCTTGGTGAGCAGAAGAGACTTCTTTCAAAAATATTACAAAATCTTACCAACCCCAAATTTTGAAAGGCAGTGTACGTGTTTCTTCAAATTTGGGCACTTCATTCATTTACATTATTTATGATTTACGCTTTTTATCCAAAGCAACTTACCATAGACAAACAAAAGAAATGTGTCACAGAGGCACATCATGCCTTTAATGACTCTATGACTTTAATTTATAGATGTAATAGTTTTATCCTTGTTCCAGACTCAGATTTTCAAACAAAGATAAATATTTAGGGGAAATATTTAGCCTGTATATTTATTTTAATGCCCACAGTTTAGGAAGCATGTAATTACAGAGTGTTTTCAGTTATACAGAGATACTTTTTTCATGAGCGACTACATGGAATATTTGTTTTTATTTGTTAATGATCTACAAATTATGAGAAATGGTGACCAGTCACAGCACATAAAGATTACATTTCCCTAAAACATTCATTCACCATATTAAACTCTGTACTCTATAAACAAAATTTATACTTTAATTAAAAGTGAAGTGTGTAATTTTTCCATTGATTTGCTCAAAGCAGATTTCCATATCAACATGTTTACACCGTCTCTGATCTCATTTTTCACCACACACAGGCACATTCACACACACAAACACACGGCTGTCTCAATCCACTGAAGCAACAGCTTGTTAACCCGGTTACTATGGTAAACTACACAGCATTGAGGCCTGTAGACTGTTTGGGTCTCTCTCCAGACAATACTGGCACTCAGCACTGCAGTCCACAGCCCTTTACTGAGCCTTGTTTGACAAGTCCGGCCCTCGCTTGAACACTGGCCCACACAGAGAAAGACATCAGGAGAAACTGAAGCCCTTCAGTTAAAATACAGCTGAAGTTTCTGTTTGAGCTTCTGTTACAGATTTAGTTGCCTTGTATCTATCTATCTATCTATCTCTCTCTCTCTGTCTGTCTGTCTGTCTGTCTGTCTGTCTGTCTGTCTGTCTGTTTGTCTGTCTGTTTGTCTGTCTGTCTGTTTGTCTGTCTGTTTGTCTGTCTGTCTAACTATCTATTTTGCAAATTGTTTCACACATTCACACTGATTCATTGTGAGAGAATGCTCAAGAGTCAGATTTTTACCCTCAATATTGATATTTTTTTTATTTATTTTTTTTTGTATTAAAAGTGAATCATAATAATGGAAATGTTAACAATATTAATGGTAGCGAATATATTTTATATCAATTAAAGGTACCAGTGTAGTTTCAGTATTATTTATAAAATATTTTAGTATTTAAAAAATATTTTGGTTAGCTTATTTTTATATGTTTAGTTTTCATTTTAATTTCAGTTTAAGTTTTAATATTTTTATTATGTGCTTTTGTCATTTTTATAATTATTATTATTTTTAATATTAGTCTTTAATAAATTGTAAGTTTTTAAGTAATTTTAGTATTTCTATTTTTTAAAAGATGTTTAAAGTTTATCTAATTTTAAATGTTTAGATTTTTAATAGCTAGCTTTTGTCATTTTCATTACTGATTTTAATATTTGTATCTTTCATTTAGTTTTATTTAAGTTTTAGAAATTTAAGTATTTATTTTTTGTTATTTTTAAGTTTTGTTTTTCATCTAATATTTATACATTGTTATTTCAGCGTTAATTCGGTTAACAAATACTAGTTTTAATAATTTGCTTTTGTCTTTTTTTATTAGTTTTTTTTATATTTCTTGTCTTTAATTTATTTTAAGTTTTAGTTTTAATATTTCAACTTTAATAAATCGAATTATTTATTTATGTATTGTTTGTTTGTTTGTTATTTCATATTTATTTCTGTTAACAATTTAGTTCTAGTTTTAGTTAACAATAACAACACTGAAAGGAACACATTTCTGGTTTGGTGCTGCATGAAGGAGTTTTTAACTGCTGGGGTCGTGTCAGTATATATGACAAAACTGGTTTGGAAACTCTGCAGTCTAGACCATGACAGTTTCAGTGGGTGAATAATCTGATACTGAATGTGATTGCGAGTCAAAGTCACAGCACATAAAAAAGAACTTGCAATCAGCACTAACAGATCTCCATTAGTGCTCCAAACATGACATGTTTTCCAAAGAATGCCGTTATTTCCACATTGTGAGATTAATATCTCTTCATTGGAAAGAAAGGATCACATAAAATCTAGATTGTTTCTCCTTGACAGTAATGAGATTAAATGGAGAACAAATTGAAACTTAAACTGAGAAACATCTGAGACAAAGTAAAAATTTACTGTAACTAAAAACACCTGCTTTTTTTTCTGTAGTTGTTGTTTTTGATGTGAGTATTAAATACTGTTTTGCATACATACTGTAGTGACATCAACAGAAACCAACAGACAGAATGATCGTAAAAAAAAAAGTTACAACGGGTTCCAGGATGTCGGCCAAAATCTTGCCAAACATGTCAATACTGTCTCACACCAGCACAGCTGTGCTAATGACAGTTCAACTCACAGACTCACAAATATAAGTCATGTCATGTGAAACATGAAATCACTCTTTGACGAAAGAAGCTCGCAGGCCAATAGTAAAGTTGTAGGGAAGAAGTCATGTCAGTTGCAGCCCTCAATTGAACCTGAGGTGGAAAGATACACTATGTACTACATTTGATGACAAACTTATTTTGCAAGCATGAAATTAGGAATTGTAGTAGAGACGGCAACTACTTTTTATTATACTATAGTTAGTTCCAGTCCTCGAATTGTCTGTCCATTTGTGATGGGGATTTTTCAGTGATTCTTTCTACAGGTTACGGCCTGGTGCCAGGTTATCATTATGCCAGGTGACGACAAGTGACTGTCTTATGAGTGAGACATCTGAAAATGTGACTGTATGAGTGAGTCACTGAATTATTCGTACAATCGATTTGTTAAACACTGATACATTCAGGAATGAAACATTTTGCCTTGATTTTGCCTTGTTTTGCAACTATTTTTGATTGCACAGCAACAATCGAAAAACCCAACTAGCAGTACTGCATCTTAATATTAATTTCTTGTCTATAGAAATGTTCTATAAAAACTTTTGGAATTGATACATGGAAATTTAAAAAATACAGAATATTAATGGAATACTTCACCCAAAAATTAATATTTGCTGAAAATATACTCACTCTCGGGCCATCCAAGATGTAGATGAACTTGTTTCTGTGGAACAGATTTGGAGAAATGTAGCATTCCATCACTTGTTCACCAGTGGATCCTCTGCAGTGAATGGGTGCCGTCAGAATGAGAGTCCAAACAGCTGGTAAAAACATCCCAATAATCCACACCACTCCAGTCCATCAATTAACATCTTGTGAAACAAAAAGCTGCATGTTTGTAAGAAATACAGTAAATCTATTATTAAGGCTTTTTAACTTTAAACTGTCCAAAATAAACCATAATCAATAAACCATAATCCATAATAATGCTTCCTCCATTGTAAAAGTCCATCTTCTGTTGTCCTCTCACATCACAACCCACTGACATATTTGTTTAGAACTGTTTTTGGACTGCTGTCACTTGTGAGCGGTGCTTGATCTGTGCAAACGTCTCTCCTGAGTCAGACTTTTCCTTTGGAGAAAGCAATATTATGATAGAGGACATTCTTTAGTCAGAAACAATGTTTTGAAGTTAAAATGTCTAAATTGTGAATTTGTTTCTTACAAACACACAGCTTTTCACTTCAACAGACATTAATTGTTGGACTGGAGTGGAGTGGATTACTTGTGGGTTATTGTGATGTTTTTATCAGCTGTTTGGACTCAAGAAGATCCATTGGTGCGCAAGTGATGCAATGCTAATTTCTCCAAATTTGCAAACAAGTCTGTTTCTCATGAAGAAACAAACTCATTTACATCCTAAATGGCCTGAGGGTGAGTACATTTTCAGCAAATTAAAATTTTTGGGTGAACTATTCATTTAATTCCATGCATTAAGGCATGCTTATTCATGTTTTCTCACCACCTATGCTCAGCATGATGTCTGGTTTTAGTGAAGTTGAAGCACACCAACACCAGTCTGACAGTAATAAACTGCTGCGTTGAAACCTTTGCATTTCATAATCCTCACAGGGTATGTTAGAGACTTCAGCACCTGCATCCATCTGTCTCCAGCTACGAGATACAACACTAGAGTCTAAACCACAATCCATCCCTGGGCAAGCATGCAGTGCACTACAATTTGTCAGGACACCTATTTT